TTTTATCGACATTTGATATAAACTAAGAGTGAATTTCCACGTCGACAATCTATGGTATTGGTTAAAAATTGGTTATCAGTCTATCTCAATACTTTACGGGGACCAAAAACCAAAAATATATTGTAAATATAAGTACGTATTGAATTGAACGTTCGGGGTTTAAAATCATTTAGATCAGATATGATACAACCCCGAGTACAGATATGATACAACCCCGTGGTCAGATACGATACAACCCCGTGTACTAAGCAAGTGCGATCTGTGTGAAAGTGGCCATTGCAGTTAACGGTTGTTGTTTTAATATCTTTTTTGTTCCCAGGTTATCTGTATACAGACACAATCGAACTAACAGAGAAGAACACAGTACCGGTTTTAAGTGTTGCCAGGAAATACTGTGTAGATATTCTTGTTTCACGGTGCGAGGAGTTTCTGGAGCTAGCTCACGAGTTCCTGATGGAAAATCTTAAAACGGAATGCCTTCAATTGATTTCTTACTCCCCGGACGATATACTACAGTCCTCATCGTTTGCTGACCTGTGTCCGAGCTGTGTGGTCAGTATTACCGAGTCGGATGACCTACAAGCAGACGAGAGTGACGTGTACAATGCCGTCTTATTGTAAGCAGAGGCGGAATGTACACGACAAAACCTGAAAGTTAGTTTTACAAATGTTTTTTCTGATAAACATTAGGCAAATTCATAAAACACATCTACAGACACGTATGAATACATCTTTGATAAATGTCGAGTACTCCTTCAATCCACCCCCAATCCAAGTACTCCCCCAATCCACTCTCCATCCAAGACCTCCTCCCAATCCGCTCCCCATCCAAGTACTCCTCCAATCCACTCTCCATCCAAGTACTCATCTAATGCACTCTTCATCCAAGTACTCTTCGAATCCACTCTGCACCCAAGTACTCCTTCAACCCATTCCCAATCAAAGTTCTCTTCCAATCCACTCTCCATCCAAGTACTCCTCCTATCCACTCTCCACCCAAGTATTCTTCGAATACACTCCCCATCCAAGTACTCCTCCAATTCACTCTCCATCCAAGTACTCCTCCAATCCACCCTCCATCCAAGTACTCCTCCAATCCATTCCCCATCCAAGTACTCCTCCAATCAATTCCCCATCCAAGTACTCCTCCAATCCATTCCCCATCCAAGTACTCCTCCAATCCATTCCCCATCCAAGTACTCCTCCAATCCATTCCCCATCCAAGTACTCCTCCAATCCATTCCCCATCCAAGTACTCCTCCAATCCATTCCCCATCCAAGTACTCCTCCAATCCATTCCCCATCCAAGTACTCCTCCAATCCATTCCCCATCCAAGTACTCCTCCAATCCATTCCCCATCCAAGTACTCCTCCAATCCATTCCCCATCCAAGTACTCCTCCAATCCATTCCCCATCCAAGTACTCCTCCAATCAATTCCCCATCCAAGTACTCCTCCAATCCACTCTCCATCCAAGTACTCCTCCTATCCACTCTCCACCCAAGTATTCTTCGAATACACTCCCCATCCAAGTACTCTTCCAATTCACTCTCCATCCAAGTACTCCTCCAATCCACTCTCCATCCAAGACCTCCTCCCAATCCGCTCCCCATCCAAGTACTCCTCCAATCCACTCTCCATCCAAGTACTCATCTAATGCACTCTTCATCCAAGTACTCTTCGGATCCACTCTGCACCCAAGTACTCCTTCAACCCATTCCCAATCAAAGTTCTCTTCCAATCCACTCTCCATCCAAGTACTCCTCCTATCCACTCTCCACCCAAGTATTCTTCGAATACACTCCCCATCCAAGTACTCTTCCAATTCACTCCCCATCCAAGTACTCCTCCAATCCACTCTCCATCCAAGACCTCCTCCCAATCCGCTCCCCATCCAAGTACTCCTCCAATCCACTCTCCATCCAAGTACTCATCTAATGCACTCTTTATCCAAGTACTCTTCGAATCCACTCTGCACCCAAGTACTCCTTCAACCTATTCCCAATCAAAGTTCTCTTCCAATACACTCTCCATCCAAGTACTCCTCCTATCCACTCTCCACCCAAGTATTCTTCGAATACACTCCCCATCCAAGTACTCCTCCAATTCACTCTCCATCCAAGTACTCCTCCAATCCACTCTGCATCCAAGTAATCCTCCTATCCACTGTTCACCCAAGTACTCCTCCAATCCATTCCCTATCCAAGTACTCTTCCAATCCATTCCCCATCCAAGTACTCCTCCAATCAATTCCCCATCCATGTTCTCTTTCAATCCACTCTGCATCAAGTAGTCCTAATACAATTGCTCCTCAAATCTTTTCTCCGAAGCAACGATTTACAGGACCTTTGATAAGGGCTAAAAATATACCACTCGCTTACTAAATTTAGATAAACTACATAATATATACATAGTCTATAATACTCTAGTATAATAATAGAAACCTCCTTAACTTCTATAGATAGAACTCAGGATGCTTATATTTAAATATAAGTCAACGATGTCCCCTTGACTAATTATAGTCACTAGCCTTCCTAATGATTGACTCTACGGATCACCGCGCCTGCCACTAAATGTAATACAAGCATGAAAACCCTAACCTTCATACGACCTACCTTGAATATAGAATCCCTCTTCTCTAAATATAACTCCTAACCTGACCTCAGAACTCTTTTAATATGCACTGGCCCTTACTTAAGAAAGAAACCTTCTACACTAAATATAGTTCCTAACTAACCTCTAAACATTTTTACATATACATTTGTCCTTACTAAGATGTTATCCTTCTACACTAAATATAACTCCTAAACTGACCTCTAAACATATTTAAATATACATTTGCCCTTACTAAGATGTTATCCTTCTACACTTAATATAACTTCTAAATTAAATTCTGCACTATCTAAATATATACAAACACTGACCAGAGCATTAGCTATTTAAACATATGCGTACTGTCGACAACAGCTCCAACATTGCAGTATCCTGTATCTAATTACACAACAGCAATCTAACATCCCACTAGGCTAGCCCTAACATCCACGCTGGTCAGTGCTTGTCCAACTACAAATCAGTTATCCTTACTGAGTATCTACCCTTGTAAATTATTTCTCTACACAATGTTACTCTAAACCTGACATCATTCTTACCACCGGACGAATAAATCGCCACATTATCTCCTGCCTGTTGTAAGCTCCTGCGAGTACATTCCACTTATATCCCAACAGCTAGCATGATCATTTATAAAAAACTAATATTATATATTATTGTCACAGTTATCAAAACACATCACCATTGTTGTCAAGTTCGTCACTGCCTTTCATTGACTCTAGACACAAGTCTTCAATGTCATAAATGTTCTGTTGTCGATACGTCCACAAAAGTTCTTTTGGTGTTGGGATTTTCACAATTCTTCGGGTGTTCGGGTATTGATAGTATACCGAAAGGTTCTGAAGTCTTTACTTTTTACAAACTTATCAAAGATTCATAAATAAAATCAAAATGACCCAATACGTATAAGTATATGCCAATTAACACTTTCTTTTAAGGCAACATTGTTGAATTGTTCAGTGTCAAAAGAGAGTTCATTTTTAAGATAATGTGTGTCCTCTTGTTGATGTTTTCTATCAGTTAACAATTCTCGTCTAAAGTCATCGCTGCTCAGTGGTCGAAACTCATCTTGGAATGGTATCATCGATATATAACCCAACAGAGTATTTACCCAATCATTCAAACAGAATACTGACAATAATCCCAACAAGAAACTGTCACACGTATTCCGAAATTGAATACTTTAACAATAGTGTCAACAGGTACCCCATGCTCCTTGTCTCACCTTCACATATGTGTTGGTCCACACGCGAGCTATTTTGGCCAAAGGTCTAAAGTTTTCTGATTTCCCTTGAATGCTTGTGAGCCTAATTTCAATTCTTGCAACGATCTTGTTTAATATTTTCAAGATGTCAGTGGGCTGTCCGGAAAGACTCCCCCTTCCCCCAAATGCCTCAGATACACCTGTCAAATCAGTGCCAGTCAGGAAATTCACATTTTAGATAATCAAACCATGTTAAAGCAGCAATAAGTTAGGTCAGGCTGTTTATGATTTATGCTGCCCCATATCAAGTTAATTGGTTGTTGCCTAAATTTAATTCCAGCCGTATCACTGATTTCCAGTCTGTTATAATATCCCAACTGTTTGCATATGTCATAACGGATATTACCTTTCTCTCAGCTTTGATACAGTGAAATGCACTTTATACAAAAAATCTGATCCTTTCTCGGTGATCACTTGTTGTCTTTTATAAACGACTTGTTTCTTGTCTTTGGATCTCCATGTTGATATGACAGTCTCTAGATTACAACAATAATAATAAGACAAATCTACACAAGTTTGTCCTTCCACTTTATACTAATCAAAGATATTCCCCCAATACATATACATTACAAACAATATCCCGAATACTAACACTTCATTTTCAGATCTGACATTTCTGACTACTTCTGAACATCACGTCTTTCCATGAAGCTCCATTATTGTTCTAGTAAAAACTTCCTAATGACAAAAAGTAACGAAGTCAAATGAGGACTCATGTTCAAACAAGTACACCTAACACTATCACAACTACGTACTATTCTGTACTGGTTTACCTAATTCACCCAACTCTCTGTAAAAGTCTCAAAACTACCCCAGTCCTTCCCGAAGTCTGGAGTAACTCTCTTCTTCATCCAATTTTGAACAGATTTAGTTTGCGAATGTACTATGTCACTTTGATATACTGCGTTACAAGACTATCCGACTATAGTTTAAACCACACATGTTCAATTATCTCAAGGCGTTTTCGTGTTTCAGAATATTATGTTGAGCTTCCGTCTGTAATCGTGGTAACCATCTAAAGCTAATTCAAATACATTTACAACAGTAAGGCAACCAAACATAAAAAAAAATATCATAACATTATTCCATTAAAGAAGTCTATATTATTTTTGCTTTCTCATTGTAGGCCACATCTGATAACAAAAGGAATGTCTTAGGAGATATCCTCTACACTGTCCGGTTTTCTGTGATGGATGATGATTTTTTTCAAAAAAAGGTTTGCCATCACAAGGTACTTCCTGCTGAGGATGCCATTCAAACAATCAACTATCGACATCACCGGGAGAAGGTCTCAGGCAGCAAACTTAATCATAACGAGAGAAGAATTGATAGGATAAAAGGAAAAGTATGGCGTGTTAAGGGATTCGTACACGATGATTGGGTTTATGGAATGGAGTCGGTGTCGTTTACAGTATCTGACAATATACGCTTACTAGGATTTGGATCATTCTACTCCCTCGGTGACAATACTGTCAATGTAGTCATTTACGAAAATAACGAAGTTGTTTACAAAGCTGATAAGATATCTCGGGTTAAAAGCGAATCCGATGATATTGGGGAAGTTTTGTTGAAGGGCAGCAAGTGCATCCATCTCAAACCTGACAATGTGTACACTATAACAGAACATACATATTATAATAGAAAGTGTTACAGCCAACAGACACTCGGCGATACATTGCAGTGCAAAGGTACAACGATCACATTTCAGACACCTTTTGTTACTTTGCCAAACGTCAAAGGACACAATAGAAATCAAGTGCCATATTTGTTGATGAAATGAAGTTGAATTAATAATTACATTTCGGAGTAGAAAATCATTATGGTGCAGTCACATCTGTTAACAGTCTGTATATTTGTTTAGAAACATTGTCACAGCCTCGGTGTTTTATATCCGAAGAAAAACCGTTCCGACTTGTTAAGTTGTTTTGCTACCTAAACTTGCTTATCTATTTAATGTAGCATATAGTAATATACGGAATATACATACATATTTTCACAATAATTTAATTTTCACAAGCATAGCATGCCCTTATTAAATTTAATTTTCACAAGCATAGCATGTCCTTACTATGATAATTCGAACCCTGGACCTATATATGATCAATCAGGATTCTTTTTAATAGTGCTAGCATTATGAAATTTTATAAAAATGTCATATTAAGTTTTTACAAATAGGAAAATCAATTAACAGTACAGAAATATATTATGAGTCAAAATAGTGTAACGTTCATAGTTTGGTACGTTATTGGGGACATCATGGGCTGCTGCCCTGATACAGGTAGAGGACATGTTACGGTGTAGTGGTCCGGATTGTCTCGTGTTACTGTATCGCTCCTATTGGAATACATTATAGTGAATCGTTCCTATTTGATTTTAACAAGTTAAGCTGTCTTGTATATCGTTTGTTTTATGAAACAAAACATGATATTGTATCGTTCTTGTTTGAATATATGTCATAGTATTGCGTTATTGATTTAGCAAATCATAGATTATCAGATTATTTTATCATAAAACATAATAGTGCATCGTTCCTGTTACAAAAGTCATATTATCATTTTTCATTTAGCAAATTATATATGGTAAAGCGTGTCTTTTTTATACAATGTATTTATACATGGTAATATATCGTTGTGTAGCACTTTTGGTTGGACATATTACATAACGTTAAGCGGTTCTTTTATAATTTTTTTTTTTTTTTTTTTTTTTTTTTTTTTTTTTTTTTTTTTTTT